ACCACAGGGATATTATGTTAGCTAATAGCATTCCCCACCTCTCATTTTTTTTAAAACTTGTCCACTCAAAACTGAAGATTTGAATCATACTGGCTTAAAGAGATCTTTTTTTTTTTTTTTTTTTTTAGGATCTTAAGCTCACTATTACTCCAAAGAATTTTAAGACCATGCCTGTAGTCTTAGTCTTGAAGGAGTGTAACATTTCCAAATATTGACTAGTAAGATTGAGTTTAACATAGGTTTTGAAAATAATTAGGTTCATTATCAAAGTGAACATTTTACCAAAGGATGTTTATTTTATTTATTTTTTATTTTTTTAAAAAAGATTTTATTTATTTATTTGAGGGGGAGAGAGAGAGAGAGACAGCATGAGAAGGGGGGGAGGGTCAGAGGGAGAAGCAGGCTCCCCGATGAGCAGGGAGCCGGACATGGGGCTCGATCCTGGGACTCCAGGATCATGACCTGAGCCAAAGGCAGTTGCTTAACCAACTGAGCCACCCAGATGCCCAGGATGTCTATTTTAAATTATGGATCCTTTCTAGATGATGTTCCTCGCTATCTCACAGTTTGACAAGCAGGTATTTTGATATTTTAGTTTACACTGGTTAGTTCTGTTCACAGGCCTCCTCAACTTTGTCATCATTGCAGAAACAATGTTAGAGTTGAAATCAGAAGCTGGACTATATTTGTTCATCCCCAATACAAATCCTTTCATGAATACACTCACTATAATACCCTGTCTCTAGACCTTTAACAAAATAGTAAATGATCACTTACAACATTATCTCTGTACCTGCCTTCCTCCAGGGAAACCATGTAACAATGTTGAACCCCTCTGTCTTCTTTTAAAGCCAGCAAACTGAAATGTGTTGAATGAAAAGCAAGATTTCCATCTGAATATGTGAAAGAGGTTCTCCTTACCTCAAAGATGTATGGTGTAACAGAGATAGCAGCATAGACTTTGCAATACTTTATTTTCTTAAGCACACACCACTGTAATAATTTTGTGAACATCTATCTATCATTTCAGTTGAATGTCTAACTCTCTGCTGTGGTACATTGGAATAAAGAAGGCAATGAGCAAGATTTACAAAACAACCCGATACCAAGGTGTTTTTTAGAAGGTTGATATAAATATGATATCTCTAATATTTGTTTAAAATAAGTTCGAAATATATCACAGTTGTGGTTTTTTTAAATGTATCTTCCATAATATTTTCCAGGAGAACACCTTGCCTTTCTTCTCAGGCCAAAATCATACATACAGCATTTTGTATAATGGTCAGGGTTAAATTTGATGAGGCATTAAAGATTTTCAACATAATCCTTTTTTGGGGGGCGGGGATATTGTGTGAGAAGATGGCCTGAGGAATTCTCCTCTGGGAACACAGAGATCCCTAGTAAGAGAGGTAATAGTTCATAGACACTAAAATGATGCATTTTAACTTCCTTCATAAATCTTGTTTCATTGCAGTCCCTCATTCCAAGGTGAGGCTCATCACCTTAGGACAGGAAAAGGCTTATCTTCAGCTTCTAGGCAATGCTAAAAGGCTTGAAAATCAGGTGAGGCAATGGGGGCAGGGGGATTGCACAGAGATTTGCTAAATCCTTTTATTTTGCTTCAGTACCTCAAGGGCTAAGACTAAAGGACTCCTCTCCTATGTTTTTCTTCTAGTGGAAAGGGGATGTGGGGTGAGGGGAATGGTTTGAAGAAGTGAAGTTGACAAAGGTAAGGAGAGATGGAAAAGCCCTGAGACAGAGCCACACGAAAATACAGACAGAGGAGATCCTGAGGGTCACCAGTCCAGTGCCTACTAGATCCCCCGAGTCATGAGCCAAGAAGCTCAGCATGGGACTGCCTATGGCAGGGTGAGACCAGTCCTTGGCAGAGGCTGGGGTAGCCCCCCAGACCAGTGGGCTGTAGGAGCACTGTGGAAGGCCCTGAAAGGGCCACAGCCCACAGAAGCTGAGTATAGCCCTCACCAAGCTAAGAGGTTGGATCATAGACTCCAGAAGCTGCAGATTTCAACAAACTGTAGACAGGAATCATCTCGAGGGGAAAAAGCACCCATTCCCAGAGAGCAAAGGGCAGAGAGGGCCCCTTTCCTGAGCCTCCCCCCCATCTCCTCCACTAGGATGCGTAAAGCCTCTTTCCAATCTTCACTCTAAAGCCATTTTAAGGCTGACTAGAGAAGACAAGGAGGCCAGCTGGGAGACTGTCTGAACTCATTCAAATGAAATTTGGAATTGTTTTCTTAAAATGCCTATATAAATAAACTCAATTAGAGGTTTGAATATTTATTTAATTTTTTTTCTCCCTGCTAGCCACTTGGAATAATGTTCCAAGTTCAATTTACCATCTTGCTATAGCTTTTTAAAATAATTTAAAAAGACAACAGTCCAACTATCCTTAGTCATATTGAGATAATGTATAGAAGTATAAAGCCTAGAGTTACTGAGCATTTGAAATTTTTTGAGACCCCCTGCCCACCACTTTCGTTCTGGAATCACTGCTCTTGTCTGCTTGTAAAATGTTGCTTTCCACTTATTTGCTGTGAAAATAAAACTGCTCTAAAAAATAAAGTCTGTTAAAAAAAAAATTCCTCTCGTACCTTCTTAAATTCTTCTAGGGATGGAAATGGCCATCACTGAACAAAGCATAAAACACGACTCTCTTCTCTTACGTTGAAATCTGATTTTTCTATTCTTTTACCCATTTCCTCTGGAACACCTTTAGGCAATCTCTCCATCTCTTCCTCTCCTGTGTTTTCTCTCCCTGGGATGTAAGTCAGCAATTACTTAGTCCCCACAGTGAAGTCTGAGGTCATAAATGAGGGCAGACAGTAATTTAATTTGTGACAGACTGAGATACCCGCTAGTTGGTTTGGTAACAACAGCAAACCAGAGAGAGTATGGGCTGCTACACTGCTTCCTAGTCATACTGACTCAAAGTTGTTTTTCCTCTTTCTCTGAACTAACAAACTTTTCTTTAAAAAAAAAAAAAAAAACAATTCGAAGTATAACCCCAATCTTGGTAAAATTCCTACAGGTAATCTGGAACTGTTCTTCTTAAAATCTGAGTGAAACACAAAGCAACCAAGCCCACACATACGTGTTTTTAAGTAATCCCTTAAAACAGTGAAATTCAATTGGCAAAACGGGACAACTTGCAACAACATAATACATTTGTTTATTTAGTTCATATTACAATGGTAACAGGTTAAGAGCACTAGATTTGTATCCTCTTAAGAGGATAATGTTTAAGATTTGTAAATTTCATTGTTCTTAACCATTAAAAATCTATTTTCCAAAGGAGAAATAATATATTATTATTATCAAGGGACAGATCTCAACTTTATGATGTATAACCAAAAGCATATATTTGTTCCTTAGTTTAAACAAAACGTTAGAGACATTTTAACTCTTGGTTACTGCTTTCAGGAAAGCACAAAGTTCTTGAAGCAAGTATTACACAAAACATCTTTTCCCATGATTTCAACCATTGTGTATCATGTCAATGAGAGAACGAAGAGCCCCTGACTTAGTAGCTCCCAGTGGTTGTAATACACCCTGGCTTACTTAAACAATCAACCAACAAACATGTATTTAGTGCCTACTATGTACATGCCAGCATACTAAAGCAATACAGGAAATACAAAGAAGTAAAATTATTGGTCCTTGCCCTGCTCAGGCTTCCAATGGAATTGGTAACATTAAACACAGACACAAATTACTCTACTTTCAATGTGTTCAAAAGAAGTGACAATGTTGACTAGATTGTCTATTAGAATCATCTATTCTGGAACCTAGAAGACGCAGGGACATAAACAGGGACATTCTCAGCACTGACTAAAATCTGTGTGCATCAGATTTCTTGGCTCCAGAGTGAGCTGAGTGCTGCTTGAACACCCATATCTGAAAGTGCTCCTGCCAGCCTCTCATTGTTTCATGGATTCATGACAATGGAGCAAGATCAATAGACATAATATGTAAAAAATATAAATAAAATCATACATAGGGTGATGTTGGAAGGAGTTCAGGACATTCCACTCTGCACGGGAGGGAGGTGGCTCACCCACGTTATTATTTATTTATTTATTTATTTATTTATTTTATTTATTATTAAGACAAACAAGAGACTACATAAGAAAAAGTATAAAAGAATCTCCAAACTTCACTGAACACAAGCAAAAATAGAAGGATAAGAAAACAGGGCCCAACAAAGAGGAGAGGTTTTGAGAGGTCCTTGGGGAGAAAACTTCCCCCAACTGCCACCTCGATCCCGACCCCCAGTATCCTGAAGGAGAGGCCCTGGGCTAGGCAAAGCAGAGACACCTTTTCAAACATCACAAATAAATAAATAAATATGTTAAGCAAGAAAATAACTTATTAGGCACCGCTTGAAAGGCAGCAACCTTCAAGGGCCGGGCAGGCCTCACTCTTTAGCCTGCGGGCGGCAGCAACGCGCTCGCGATTGGCCACGGCTCAGACGGCGCCACCGAGGTCCTGGCCCGGCGCCTGGTCTTCGAGATAAACCCAGGCAGGAAACCGAGTCTGTGGTTGCTCTTACATATGCACGGCCAAAGGCTTAGGTGAGGGAGCAATCGTAGTGTTGCTGCAGACTCCCGGGCGGCCCCGGAGAAAGTGTGCCCTGCCCTGCCAGGCCAACTCAGACCAGCGTTGTTGTCCCCGGAATGCCCAGCACTTGGTCTTTGAAATCAAAAGCGCTGGTTGTGAGCCGGAACAGAGGGTGGTTTCTATTACAAGCCCCTCCGCGCCAAACCCCGGCATCTTCTAGAAACTCCTGGGTCGCTCGTTGTCAGTTCCTTTTTTGCTCCAAAGGGGGGTTTGGATGGGGACTGCAGAATGTCCGGGGTTCGAAGCGCGGGAACGATTTTACTAAGCACCTGGCTCCGCCCTGGGTGGAGTGGGAGTGGTGATAGGGTTCCGGGAAGGGCACGACTTCACCCGAGAGTAGGAGAAAAGACCAGCTGCCTAGTTCATTCCCGAGTCCTACTTCTTTCAAGTAGAGCTGAGCAAAGGGAGAGCGGTGATTCTCCAGACTCCGCTAGGGGCACCAGGCAGAATCTGGCGAGCGGAGGGGCGCGGCAGGGCGGGGCGGAGGGCCAGCTGGGGACTCACCCCGTGGGAAACCCGTGTTGGTAACTGCGGCTCAGCTTAAACAAAAATAATCGCTGGCCGGGCTGAGGGTCAGGCTGAGTTGACGACGTTTATGAGTTCATGATCTGCACCTGCAGGACGGGGCGGAAGGAAAGATCGAAGTTACAGAGTGGGGAGCATAGCGGGGCGCAGAACTGCAAGCGCAGAGGAGGAGGGAGCGAAAGTAGCAGACAGGAGAAAGGGGCCCGCGAGCCTTCCCAAGTTAAAAGCAAAGTGCCCAATTCCATCTTTGTCGCGCGACTTTCCCGGGTCTCTTCCCCCCACGCGCACACAGTGTCTTAGCCCCACCTTTGCCCCACCGCACCCAGGCGCCTGGGAATACTTTCACCTCTCGCACCCGGCCTCCCTTCCTCCTCATCTTGCTCCTCCTGCCTTGCGCAGGGCCCTTGCGTGGCCAAGGCTCAGAGAGTTGTGATCCGAGACGTGCAGGTGCCATTACGGAAGACACCCCCTCCGGACTCTAGGTTCTCCGGCTGGAAGTCCTCCACGCTGTAAGCGCGGCTCTTGAGGGCGGTAGCATAGTAGTCGACAGGCTCCTCGGCGGCGTTGTCCATCCAGCTGAGGCACAGGATGCGCTGGAAAGAGCGCTTGAAGTTGTCCGAAAGGAAGCCATAGAGGATGGGATTGGCGCAGCTGTTGGCGTAGCCGAGGATGACCGACAGTTGGCTCACCGTGGCGTCGTCCTGCTCCGCAAACACGTTGACCAGCTGCACTACATAGAAAGGCATCCAGCAGATGACAAACACCATCACCACCATCATCACCATCAGGGTGATCTTGCGCTCCGAGCGCTTGCGCTGCTGCCAGCCGGCCTTGAGGGCCACCATGCGCATTTTGGCGATAATGAGCACGTAGCACAGGCAGATGGCCCCGACGGGCAGCAGGAAGCCCATGAGAAATGTGTACAACACGAAGCCCACTAGCCAGCGCTGAGCAGGCTCAGGCATGAGCATGTTGCAGGCCACCGTGCCATCACTGTTGGCCGCTGTGCGCGAGAAGACCACAATGGGCAGAATGACAAGCAGCGATAGCACCCACACGCCCAGATTCACCACCTTGGCCACGGTGGGCCGGCGGTAGCGTGCTGCCTTGATGGGGTGCACCACGGCCACGTACCGGTCCACGCTAAGCACAGTCAGACAGTAGATGCTGGTGAACATGTTGACTGCGTCCACGCTGAGCACGAGGCGGCACAGCAGAGCGCCGAAGGGCCAGTGGCGAAGCAACGTGGAGGTGACCAGGAATGGCACACTGAGCATGAGCAGCTCATCGGCGATGGCCAGGTTCAGGATGTAGATGTTGGTGGCCGTCTTCATTTTGGCGTAGCGCAGGATCACGTAGATGACCATGGAGTTACCACACAGCCCCACCAGGCACACCACGGAGTAGATGAAAGAGATGAGGATGGCGCTGCCTTGGCCCTCGCTCAAGGTCCCGTTCTGGGACGCGTTTCGCCCCGGCTCCTCCATACCGTCCGCAGCGCCGGCCCCAGGGCCCCTGCTGCCTCCGCCTTCGCCGCAGCTGCCCGGGCTGGGGCTAGGAGAGGAAGGAGAGGAGGCAGTGCCATTGGGGAACATTTCAGCTGCTGGGGGCCGATAGGGCTACTGGGGCTGGGGCGCTCTCCTCGCGCCCCCGCCGCTCGCGCCCTCACTCGGCACCCCGCCCTCCCGCCCGCAGCTCACTGCTGCCGGACACCTGGGGTAGCACGCAGCGGCTACGCGGAGCTTGGCTCTGACCGGCGCGGGCAGGGCGCATTGCCCAGCGGAGGCTTGTGCGCCGCCGCTTACAGCTCCGGGGCGCCTGGGCACACGCGAGCGTGGAGAGGGGAGGCCAGGAGGCTGAAGCCCGGCGCCGCACAGCCATTAAGTGGCGCGGCTCTGGGCTGGTGAATGATTAATAGACACCACCAGCGCGTCAGCAGCTACGAAAAGGGAGGGGTGGGGGAGAAAAAGAGGGAGGAAGGCGATAGAGGTGGCTTACCACCCCTCGCCCAATTTTTTTCTTTCCCAGTCCTGGGCTCGGATCAACTCCAGCAGCTGCTTCTGGAGGGTCCCCTGAAGTACCCTTCACCCATCCCTCAGGAGGAACTGGGGAGTTTGTCCGCCTTCCTGGAGGGTGGGTGGGAACCAAAGGTGTAGAATCTGTCCCACCCCACCCGGCTCCTATCCAGTGAAGCAGACCCCCGGGCACAGATGTCTGGAGTTATCTCAGTTGCCCTCAGTTGCTGCCCCGTCCTGAGAGACCCCAACTCCACTCCCATCCCATCGTCCGGGGCCCTAAACCGCCACCTCCCGCTAGCCCTGCCTCTCAAGACCCTCCGCGGAAGCTCTCGGTCCCCCTTACCCAGGGCGCGCTACCTCCAGACCGACGCGTAGATGGCCCGTGCAAAGTGCCTGTGCGGTCTGGTGGCACGGTGACGTTCTTCGCGCAGTCCAACTCCTTTCTTTGGGCCGGACCCCCGCACAGGCGCCCACGCAGAGACTCTTAGAGTCGCTGAAACTGACCCTGAGCCGTGTTAAGAGGAGGAAGGACAAAAACCGTGCGTTAGGAGATTCTGCCTTACAACACCGCAGGCAGCTCTTCGCGGGCGGGAGTGATTTAGGGGCCTGAGTAAACCACTGCGAATCTCTTAATAAAGCGTGTAGTGCCCAGAGCCGCCTCCGTCTCCCAGAGGAATATAGACCGCAGAAAGGAGGACGCACGGCTGGGATCACGGAAGGAGCCCGAGGCTCCCTGCCGAACGTGCCAAGCGCGGTATTGGAAATCCATCTAGGTGTTCACTGGGGAAAGATATGGCTGCGCCGCTTGGAAAGGCTCCGCCTGCGTCCCTGCTGTACTTTGTACCCGGGAGAGTTGGCGGGCCCCGGGGGAGGAGAGTGTAAAGGCCTGAGAGAGCAAGGATGCCAGCTCCTCTAAACCCACGCAGGGCCGCCGTGCTGGTGACCAGACCCGCCACCAACTCCACAAACGCGCAGGAAGACCTTCGGGTTTTTCCGTGAATTACTAGGATTTCAGCCTTTTCTGAGGCCCCCGGACGTGTGACCCCGTTCCAGTTCACGTTCCTACACTTCTAAGCGACAGAAGTCGATGTAGGCACGCCTAAAGCTCGCCTGCTTCATTTGGGAATTGAATGGTTTCTGTGTAAAAGAATGAATGTTCAATCACCATGATTTTTAACCACCTCTGGGACTTCCCACCATCCCTAGCCTAGGCTCCTTTTGGCTGTCCACTGGTTCTAGCCCAAGGAAGGATCACTCCATCCAACTCTCCTGTCCCTTTTCAAAACCCCATCAAGTCTTTCTCTGAAACACGCCTGTTGCCAGGAAGACTGAGCTGCAGCAGCCTAGTGCTGGGCCTCTTTCAAACTTTAGCTTTGTCTCAGAGTTTCTTGTTAGTTCTTCCTTTCTCTCAACTAAGTGGAGCACCCACTGTGCCCTGGGTCTCAACCTTCCCTCCCATCAGTACAGTTTACACTATGGAGAAGCAACCTGAAACCGAAACTAAACTCCTCACTGAAGCTATTTGTACCAGATAATTCAGCATGCAGAAATGGATGCAGAACCTGAAAAAAAAAAAAGTGTAATTCCTTTATTGCCCCCTGTTTTATATGGGCAATCTTTTGCATATATGTGTTTTAGTTCTCAAAACTAAACGCTCCTGAAAGGAAAAGAGTAACTTCTGTAGTGTGTTGATTATACCAATCAAAGATAAATTATGTCAGGCCCTCATAGGAAGGTGTGAAATGGGCACTGGATTATTAATGAGAAATGTGCTAGGAAGGAATTTGGAATTTCATAAGGCCCAAGCTGTTAAACCCATTACTTTATCTAAACAAATTACTTTTTACCTTTTACAAAAATGGGATGTGGAATTGATGGTTAGTTGTGTTTTATTTTCCCTTAAAAATACTGAATATATGAGGGGGGGAAGAATGTTCATCAAGTTTTTTAAAAAATGGCCTCCCCCCCCACCCCAGAAGAGCTTTTTACAAGCCAAGCCTCATAATGGGTTAGATGCTTTCTTTGCCAATCACTGACTAAAGACACCTGGCTATTCTTCAGGGGGCTGACATTTCAACAGTCATCATTTAGATGCCTTGGCATTGATCATGGTTGCTCAGGGGGAATGCGCGATGAGAGCCGGTAAAGCAGAGCTCTGTTACTCAGACTCTTGTAAGTTCACTTTGCAGCTCACCTTAGGGAAATCTCCTCTCCATTTAGTGGTAGCCTTATGTACAAACGAAGAAAACTTAAGACCCGACACGAACATGTTTGTTTGCTTGCTTTTTTCTGAAGTGATTTCTATGATAGATTATTTATCCATTAAAAAAAGAATGACCAGGAAATATCACTTACACCCACTAGAATGGCTATGATAATTTTTTAAAGGAAAAAACCAAATGTCGGGGGCGCCTGGGTGGCTCAGTAGTTAAGCGTCTGCCTTTGGCTCCGGTCGTGGTTCCAGGGTCCTGGGATGGAGCCCCGCATCAGGCTCCCTGCTCGGCGGGAAGCCTGCTTCTCCCTCTCCCACTCCCCCTGCTTGTGTTCCCTCTCTTGCTGTCTCTCTCTGTCAAATAAATACATAAAATTAAAAAAAAAAAATGTTGGCCAGCATATGGAGAAATTGGAACCCTTATGCATTGCCGATGGGAATAAAAAATGATGCAGCAGCTTTAGAATGTTTAATGATTGTTCAAAAAGTTAAACAGAATTCCATATTACCAAGCAACATGCTGCCCCTAGGTATTTGCCCCGCCAAAATTGAAAACAGGTGTTTGAACAAACATGCTCATAGCAACATCATTCACAATAGCCAAAAAGCCAAACCCAAATATCCATCAACTGATGAATGGATAAAGTGTGGTGTGTCCTCACAATAGATTATTTATCCATAGAAAGGAATGAAGTACCCAAACATGAGCCTTGAAAACATTAGGCAAAGTGAAGGAAGCAAAACAGAAAAAGTCGTGTATTGCATGATTCCATTTATCTGAGATGTCCAGAACAGGCAAATCCATAGAGACAAAGCAAACCAGAGGTTGGCAGGAGCTGAGGGGAGAAGGGATGGGGAATGACTGCTTAATGGCTGTGGAATTTCTTTTTTGGGTTATGGAAATGTTCCGGAGCTAAATAATGGTGGTGGTTGTACAACACTGTGAATGTACTAAAAGCCACTGAATTGTGCATTTTGAAAACGGTTAAAATTATGATTTTTTATGTCATGTGAATTTTACTTCAAAAAAAAAAGAGCCATCGAGATGAGTATGAGCCATACAGTGTTCCATGGAATCTTTTCAGTCACGTATTTCTTAACATTGTATCTGTGAACTAATCCATGAACAAACAAAAACAATCAAGCAAAAGGCAGCATTTCTGGCCTAAACAATATGAGGTCAAGGGTGCAGCTGTTTTTAAATTATATTAGGGATAGGAGCCCAGTTAGGAATCTGCCTTCCTCTCAGACCTTAATTTAATGTCTCTTGATGAAACAGGAACACTAACGTAGGCATGGCATTGTGATAATGTGTAAGGAACACGGCCTAAGAGAAGGCAGAACTCCACAGTCTTTGTGTCTTGTTTAAAAACTTTTTTTTTTTTTTTTAATTCACGTATCTAGAGCCTGAAAAAGCTTAGGATAGGCTTGTTTCCCCTGTGAAAGTAAACTGTCCCACAGTCTCTCCTTCTTTGGTTACTATGTTTTCTATGCTTCTGTGATTTGAACATTTCTAGATACTAGACAAGAAAGATGATGGCTTGCAGGAAGGGAAAAAGGAAAAGTCCTAATTTAGGAAGTTGCAGATTCCTAAATGAACTGTTTTTCTTCCTCATCTCAGTTCTACAAGCTACACTCCTCTGTGCTATCAGGTACCAGGTGCACACTTGGATTACTGTATTTATCCCACTGTGCTGTGATTTCTTTGTGTATTTATCTCTCCTCCCTTCTAAATCTATAAGCTTGCTGAGAACAGTGGCTATATTTTACTTATCTTTATATCCCTGGCACCCAGCACAGTACCTGGAAAATTGCCTAACACCTCCTTGTTTGATTTTTCTGAGGTATGCCATAGATAATATCTTCCTTTTGTTCCAACCCATAAGATGTAGATACAAAGAAATGCACTTTTGGCCTCTTGCAAGGAAAGTTTTAAAATCTGCGTAATATCATCAACTGTAACAATTTCTTACACATTTAAATCATTCTGAACAGTTTCAATTTGCATGTCCTTATATCAACAATTACCATGCTGATGATTCCTTCATTGATCATTCTTGGTCTTAAATTTCTTGGCAGAGAAAAGGCTCTGGAAAATGGGCGGTACATACTTTAGTAGCTAATGATGGTTATTTAATAGTATCATGCAGTGTGAAAGCCATTATATGTGGAAGATCGTTTCTTTTAATTGCAGTCCTGAGTCTCAGTTGATTTGGTGGAATAGTAATTACCAGGAGCTCCAACTCTGCTTCTGTCAAAATCATTACTAATGTGGTTTTTCCAACTGGAGCCTATGGTGGTCCTCAGATGAGCTCCTCTAATCTGGGCCAGTGGGAAAGTGCTGGTTGGGGCCAGGGATTAAAAG